CGAGAAAGCCCCTCCTGCATTGCCTGGGGCTGCTGGTCAAAGACGCCTGGGTAAGGGCGGTGGGGGGTCTAGATGGTACCTCAGCCTCACTGCAAACCAACACAGCGATGCAGAGTTGGGGATGCTGAGCCCGTGAGGAATGGGACTCGGAGATGGGGTGTGAGGTGGTTTGACAGAAAACAAAACTGAAGGCCCCAGTGCCCTCCACGGCTGATCCACCTGGGAGGAGGAGCAGAGAGCCCATGCCAGCCAGGGTGGCAGGCACGGAGACCCCACCCGGGGCTGAGGGCGGCATGGAGGAGTGGAGCAGAGGCATGCCCTCCTCCTTGTAGAAACATCTGCAGATCTGGGGGTCCCTGAGGTCCCCAGCCGCTGTCAGGAGCCCACTGGCTCAAGTGAGCAGGCTGCTTCCACCAGCCCAGGGCCAGTGGCAGGGGGCTCAGCCATCCCCCTGGGGGGTTGACGTGTGTAGCCCTAGCCCCAACCTGCTCACGTGTGGCTCAGAAAGACCAGCTGAGCCCTCGGGCAAGGACGCAGGGATATCAACAAGACACGGATCCAGCTGTCCCCCAAGAAGGTTTTGGGGGTGGCCTAAAAGAATTAAGCCAGATGAGGTTTCCTGGTCCCCTCACACCCCCAGGCCCCTCCTCCTCCGCCCACGGCTTCCACTTGAGATCTTCTTTCAAGTGGAGCCTCATGCAACCTCGTGCAAAAACGACTCTCCCTTGGGAGCAGGCGGGCTGGCTGGGAGGCCAGCATAACAAGCTCTCCTTTCTCCTCCTCGGTTTACTCTGCTCCTTTCACGACCTTCAGAATTTGCTTAATTATTTCCAGTGACAGGAGCAGGGGAGCTACACCCTGGGACACCCTACCACCGCATGGGTCACTTAAGGACACATACACAGAGGGGAGCTGAGGTCCCCACTGTCCTCACACGCGCCCCACCCTGGTGACTTCATCGCCGTTGGCTCTCCATGGAGCCAGCAAGGTCTGGGACCACGCGGCCGTTCTGGCTTCCCACCCCGCGAAGGGCGTCTTGTTGAAGGCCAGAGCTGGGGAGGCAGAGGCCAAGGAAACCAGGATGGGGGGAGAGGCGATGGGGTCAGGCTGGTGCCGGACCGGGGTCTGCACGCTGCAGGGGTGCGCAGGGGGCGGGAGGACAGGAGCTTAGCCTCTGGCGGGCACAGGGGCGGCGGCCAGCTAGGGCTCAGCAGCGTGCTTGACCAGGTAGCCACTGAAGGTGATGTAGGTGTCGAACTCGTCGCTGAAGATGGCGTTCTCACGCTCGCCCTTGAAGAGGCGCACCCACACCTCGTCCTGCTCCCGCAGCTCCAGCATCAGGCTCTGGCTCTGCATGATGCTGCGGTCGCTCACCTGGGCGTACAGGATCACCGCCTCCTCCCCATTCTTCATGATGTGCAGGTACGTCTCCTTCTGGTTCCAGGTGTGCACGTTGAGGCTGAAGAAGTAGATGCCGGGCACATAGCAGTAGAACTTGCCCGTGAACATGTTGAAGTGGCTGTAGAGGTTCACGAACTCCGTGTCGAAGATCACCGTCTGGTAGTAGTCGTTGCTGTGCAGGGGCTTCTTCCGGCCCACTGAGAAGGCCGCGTAGTGGTTCTTGCACCGGTCCCCGGGAGCCCCCATCGATCCTTTCTCCCCCTTGGGTCCACTGTGGCCCCTGGCGCCCACCGAGCCTGTTTTGCCATATTTCCCTTGGAGGCCTCGATCTCCACGGTCACCTTTCTCACCTAAAAGGGACGGGAAACATGTGGCGTCAAGTGAGCGGCTTGGTGACAGTCCACCACCTCTCGGCTTTGTGCTTTCTTGCCCCAGGTGCCCCGACCTGGTGAGCTCCCTGTCTGCCCCCCTCCCCTGGGTGAGGCTCCCCTCCTGGGCACCAGGATATTCTGATTCCCAAATTGGTCAAGCAAGCAGACT